GCCCTCACAGCCAGAGCCAGTAACTCACAGCTGTGGTTACCCGCGCGCTGATTTCTGTTTTAAAAAATACTGCTGGATAAACAGTGAGGGAAACCCGAGCTGTTCCCACACCACATAAATCCCCAGTTTGCTGTCCTATCTCGTTAGCTGGTTTCCCCCCAAATAAAGGTGCTGCTGCCTTGCGAGCAGGGGCTGGAAAGTGCACCCCCGGAAGAGGCGGCCCGGAGTCTCCCAGGCTGGCGCCCTGCCCAGGCACTGGTGGCCTCCCTCCTCCTCTCTTTCAGCACTTCCTGCCCAGGGGCACTCACCTTTGTCCTCACTCTCCACCTGGACGCCTCTCCTCCCCCCTTCCTCCTCCCGTCTGCTTTGTCTCACTCCAAAGGTCTCCATGAGACTTCCTGGGGGACCCTGGGCTCCTCCTGCAACTAGAAAGCCCACAGCCAAAGGCAAACCTCCCCGACTACCATGCCTCCCCTGGAATGTCCCCTTTAGAGTTTCCTTCCAGAACCTTCTGTCAAAGTGCAAATATCTAGCTCAGAAGGTAAGGCCAGCACCTTTTCCATCTCGAAGATGAGTTTTGCCTTTGATTGGGGTTTCCAGATTTAGGGGAGAAAAAAAGGGACACGCAATTAAATCTGAATTTCAGATAAACAACAAATCACTTTTTAGCTGAAGTCCAAATATTGCACGGAACGTAGTTGACGGGGCTCCCTGTATTTTATCTAGCTGCCCTAACTTAGAGTGTTTCCTTAACATCAGCCTGCCTCTGACTCCTTCAGGCACAGAAGCCCTGGAAGGGGCGTGTTTAAGGAGCACCTCCTGAGTGCCCGTCCATGGTCTCTACAGCAAGTCTCCACTTTTCAGCTGAGGAAACCAAGGTCATGTGACCTTCAAGAGCCAGGGTTCAGATGCAGGCCACTCTGTATGCTGTCGGGTTTTCCAGTCATCTGCCTACAATCTTGGTAGCAGACAAGTGATGGTCCTCACCAGAGGTTTAAAAAATATATACAGGAGAGAAAACAGTCATCTGAGGAAACTGTCTCTATCGGCTCAGTGTTTTCTGGGATTTAGGGAAAGACCCCATCATTGGTTCTCTAGGGTGGAATGTCTTGGTCCCACCATGCAGGCGTCGCAGGGGAGGCTGTGACAGTCGTGAGAATTGTATTCTGCGGTTTACTCCACTGTGTCCCGTCCATCCTATTACTTGAACCTCACAAAAGTCTTATAGGGCAGTAGTGACCCTGCCTCTAAGGCTTCTGAGAAGCAAAGGACATATACATTCCAATAAACCCCACGCCTGGCGGTAAACATCCTAGTCCAGAGCCATTTCCACCATATTCAAGCTTGTCTGTCTCCTGTCCTGTCCCTCAGGGTCTTGCTCGGGAAGAGGTGTCTCATCTGGTTCACATGTTGTACTATGAGAGTTAATACTAATGGCTCCGTCTTGTCCCTCTTGGGTGGCATATAACTATTTCACAGGGCCTTCTGGAGTTGTCTTTAAGGCAAAAATCTCAGGTATTTTCATCACCATCATCATCATCATCCAGAAATTATCACTAAAAAGTATATACCGGGCTGTGGCAAGAGCTCTCCTAGATCGCCTCCTACACTTCTCTCAGCAACCTAATGGGGAAAGAAGAAAGAGTTGATCCCCATTTTACAGATGAGGAAACTGAGGCTCAAGTGATAAAGTGAGTTGCTCAAAGCCATTCTGCTTATTAGTGACGGAGCTGGGATTTGAACCCATGCTCTCCTAATTCCCAAGGCCATGATCTTGACCCTCTGTTATGTTGCCGTAGAAGAAGGTCCTGGAGGGCTAGGATGGGCCATCTTCATCCTCCATCGAGACGTGACCTGCCCAGTGGTCCAGCAGAGTAAGGAAAGAGAAGCCATAATCATTCCCCGTGTGCCTAACCTTTTACAACTCTTTTCACAGACATCAGTCCATTTATCCTCAGAACAGCCATGTGAGGCTAGTACTGTCATCTCCATTTCACCAGTGAGAAAACTGAGGCTCAGAAAAGGGGTGTGACTTGCCTGAGACCACACAGCCGATGACAGGCTGTGTGGCCTTCACACCTTGAGCCCGAGTCTTCTGCCTCCAGTCCCCAGGTTCTCTCTGGGACACCCTGCCACTCCAGGCACAGGTGGGTGGGGTGGCCAGGCACGGAAGCAGGTCTGCGGCTCAGGACACGCCCGCTTGTGGCGCACAATGGGGGAAATTCCAAAAGCTCTTTGCGATGGCTCAGGTGTGGCCACGCGACCGTCCTCCTCAGGGACCCTCCCCCTGACGCACACTTTCCCTTTTCCTCCCCGTGCCACCCCTAACAACAACCAGAAACGGGGTCCCCTCCCTTCCTGAAAACCCTGCTCCCCTTGGCCGCACGGCCACAGGGCTTTTTTCCACAAACAGCCACTTCCATCCATCTCTGTCCCGCGGGCCGCGGGGCCTCGATGGGGAAATGCCGACTTTGAGGAGGTTAAAGGTGCTGGTGCCCGGCCTTCATCTAACAAATGGGTTGCCGTGACGGGAGGAACTCTTGTTGTTTTTTCCTGGCCTCCGAAGAGGGGCCTGTCAGGAAGATGTAGAGGCCAGCAGGCCCCCGGCCGCGCCCCCGCGGGGTGGCTGACAGACGCCGGCAGCTGCGGGGCGCAGGGGTGCCAGGGCCCCCCCCACAGAGCCACAGCACCCCTGCCGCGCCCCCTCCCCGCTGCCCCTCCTGACCTCTCCGCCCACCCCACCATGACCCCGGGCCCACCCCTTCCAGGGGCAAAGGGCCAGGCGCTGGGCCTCCCTGGGATGGGGTCTCTGGGCCAGATGCAAGGCCAGAGCAGGAATCCGGTTACAGCCTGCGGGCCAGGCCCCTGGGGAAGGTTTTCCTAGGAAAGCTGACAGGCCAGATCTTCCTCCCAGCCTTCTATGGATTCCTTCCAGAGCCCCCACAGCCTGGGACCCCGCGAGGGACCTCACAAGGCTGTTTCTGTAGAATTTCCTCAGTGCTCCCCAGTCCCACAGTCCCCCTTCAGAATCATTGAGTTAAAGAGAATGAGATATGCTAGGAAGGGAGCCGCATTTATCTATCACCTGCTTTGCACTTCACATGAATGATTTGTTTAAAATTCTCCAATGTCTGTGGAGTGGGCATCCTGATGGAGTGGAGCCAGGCTGCCTGGGTTGGAATCCTGGATCCTCCACTCCCCAGCTGTGTGACCCTGTGCAGGTTACACAGTCTCTCTGTGCTTCAGAGTCCTCTTCTGAAAAACAGAGGTGATGAGAAAAGCACTTGTCCCAGAGGGCTTTTGTGAGGATCTCCTGGGGGAATATGTGTGAGGTGCTAAGATCAGCGGATGAATGTCAGCTCTGACTATCATCTCAGATGAGGAAACAGAAGCTCAGAGAGGTGGGGCGACTTGTCCCAGGGCACACAGCCAGGAAGTGGCAGACCCAGAATTTGAACTCACACCTGTCTAACCCCAAAGTCCATGCTCCTTCTTCTGCATCAAGCTGCTCCAGACTGGACAGCTGGACACTTGAGGGCAACTCCTGGTTCTGCCACATCTTAGCTGTGATTCTGAGCAGCCCACATCATCTGTCTGAGCCTCATTTTTCTCATTTGTGAAATGTAGAACATAATTCTGACTTTACCGACAATAAGAGAGTTGTGAGGTTGAGAGGAGAAACGTGTATGCAACAGCCAAGTCCTGGACAAAGCAGAGAGATGAGTCTGGTTTGTGGCTATGACTCCATCTCCTCTACTGGCCTACGACACTCTGGCCGCCCTTTCCAGAATGCAGGATGCCTATTTCATGAAGAGAGTGTGTGCCACCTCTAGGCTGCAGAGCTAAGACCCGTGGCCCCTCCTCAGGGAACCCTGGGCATCTTTGGAACCAGCCAGCAGAGACACTGCTATTACGGTCCATGCCCATTTCAGCCTGATCTTGGTGCTCCGGGTCATGGAAATATTCGGTAGGAGAGGAGCACTGGCTCCGTGTGCTTGGAATGTCATCCTCCAAGAAATTACATTAACCCTCCAGAAAGACCAGCAGGGCATGGGGACTAAGGAGACTGATGGACCGGTCAAGATGGCAATTGGTCCTCCTGTGATAGGCACCAGCCAGGAAGACCACATGACTGTTTGCCCAAGACAATTCCTTTGGGAATGAGAATCCCCCTGATTCCTATTTCCATGCCCCAGATTCCATGGAAGCTTTGGCCTTGGGGGGGTGGGGCAGGGGAAGCAGGTGGGTGAAGGTTAGGGGGGCCAGGGAGCAGGTGGGGGAGGCCTGGAGAAACTTCAAGGACCTCATCTAAGAGCCTTTCCTTTACCGTGGAGAAAAACGACTTGAAACCCCTCTAGAGAAGAGTGTGGCTAATTGGCATGTAAGTTGGGGGTTAAAGAGCGGAAGGAAGAATCTGAAAGTTTTTTTAAGTTGCTGAGAAAGTGAGAATGTCACTTTGGGCAGAAAGAAATCATTTTTTTCCGGAGTGTGTCTTTCTTTATACTACAGACCATAGTGGGCCGCTGAGACTTGCAAAAAAAGATTTCTTTTAATCCACCTCCCTTTTTGCAAGCAGCAGTAGAAGGGCCCTTAAATCAAATGCAATCAGCAAACTTGTCTCTTGCACTTATTCCCCTCTTCACTCCCTGGAATTTGGCACTTGATGGATTCTGGATCTGACTTAAGGCTTTTTCCAAATCCAAGACTTGGGGAATTTTGTTAACAGTGCAATAAAATAACTTCATAGTGTTACAGGAGGCACATTAAAGAAGTTGTGTGTGTGTGTGCTGCTCTCTCTCCTTAAAAAAAAAAAATACAGACAATGTTTCTTTAAAAGTCTCCATCTGCAAATCCCATTAGATGTGCATATAAGGTTTCTGATGATTAATAGTTGCCTGCTCGGGTTTTGGTTGGAGGGGATCGTGCGTGTGCAGGTTAACCCCTCCCTCTCCTCTCTCACATTTCACTTCAGAAATTTGTCACTCTCTCCCCACCGCAGGATTTAAAAGTGTGTCTCAGCAGCCCTGGTCCAGCCCTCTGCAGGGCTCCAGGACGAGCACTCATCAGCTGGTGCATCTGGGCTGGGACAGTGAAAATGTTCAGTGTCATCGGTGATAAATACACGTACAGGGGACCCCGATAAGCAGGCTGGTGTGTCAGGGGGACAGGAAGCCAGGAGAGAAGTCCGACATAGGTGTGTGCACACGTACGTGTAGCCAGCCACGTGTGTGCATACTTTAAGGAACGACTTTAGTTTTTGTTTTGGTTCCTGGGGTGAATTTTCTGTTGAACATTTTTCCCTCTTGTTTAACTTTTTTTTCCTGCATTTAAAAAATTTTTAATATAAAAAGTATAAGAATCAAACCGAAAAGACGGAGGCGCGCAGCAGACGGCAGATGGATCCCGCGGCCAGCAGCTGCATGAGGAGCCCCCACCCCCCAGCCCCGGTCTGGGGCTGCCTTCGGAATCCCCACTCAGAAGGCAATGGGGCCTCGGGGCTACCCCACTACCCGCCAACCCCGTTCTCCTTCCACCAGAAACCAGACTTCCCGGCGACAGCAACAGCAGCGTACCCCGACTTCTCGGCCTCCTGCTTGGCAGCCACCCCACACAGCCTGCCCCGGGAGGAGCGTGTCTTCACTGAGCAGCACCCCGCTTTCCCACAGCCCCCCGACTGGCACTTCCCTGTCTCGGAAGCCAGGCGCAGGCTCAACCCGGGCCCAGCTGCGAGCTCCAGGGAGATGGGGGCCAGCAGCCCAGGCCTGGTGGACGCCACGGGAGGCCCAGGCGAGGACTACGAGGTCCTTGGGAGCACTGCCAATGAGACGGAGAAGAAGTCAGCCAGACGGAAAAAGGAGAGTTCAGGTAGGTGGCTGAGGAGCAGCTGACCGTTCCTTTACTGTGTGACCTTGGGGAGGTTGTTTGCCCTCTCTGAGCCTAGCTGCTCTGACCATGAATTGCGAACAATACTATCTAACCTACCCAAAGGCAGGAGTTAACTTCGGGGTTTCTTCTACTCAGAGTTCTAGGATTCTCTCCTGATGGGGACCCTGTCTATATCCCCAGTACTCCTGGGCTCCAGGAAGGATGTACCAGCAAGAGAATGAAATAGGATCCACAAAGATTTGGAGGAAACATGGGATGGAGTGTCTGGGTGCAGGCTGGCAAGGGCTGAAGAGGGGCTTTCCTGAATCTGGGCTGCCTCTGCATCATGCTTCTCCCCACCATACCCTGGCCAGCTCCAAATGGTCCCAGAGCCACAAGGTTTGCTCACCAGGGGAGTGAGCTGAGACGGAGGCTCAGAAGGCTAGGACTGAGGCTGGGACCCTGGGTGGTCAAAGAGTGCCAGGACCCTGGGTGGTCAAGGAGAGCGGGACCCTCCAGGAGCCTAGAGGCAGAGAAGCAGCCCTAGGGCTGGGATGGTAGAGGCAAGGAATGAGAGGGAGATGAAGCACTGAGATTCAGGACAGATGGCCATGAGGTATCACCCTGCCCAGCTGGGCCATGCCCAGGCCAAGGGGGCAGATCAGCGTGCTAAGGCCTGGGTGACCCCCAGGGAAGGCCACCCCTCTGAGGAGCCCTCCTGAGGCATCACCAGCCTTGGGGAGAGTCAGGGAGGTGGGCAGCCAAGGGCAAGCTCTAGACCTCAGCATGCAGGTAAAGCCCTGCTCGGCGGTGGAGCCCCAAAGGTCAGAGGACAGAGCTAGCCTGCCTGTTAAGAGCCCAGCTAAAGTCCATCTCCTCCCCACAGTGGGGACCCGTTGTTTCCGCATCTCCCCATGGGGCCCTCCCCAGCTCCTCTCACCACCCGGTTACCTTTTGCCTGGAACAAGGCAGTGCCTGCGCCTCCCTCCCCCCCTGCCCGCTATGCCCTTCTGACAGCCAGCAACGTCTGTCTGTCTGAACCTATAGAGAACCTTCTCCTGGGGCTAACCAGGGGCAGGCAGAAAATGAGAGTGCCAACCAATCAACGAGGACACTGTGCTTTGCTTTACAAGGCACTTTCCATGTAGCACAGACTTCTCAAGCATCCTCGCTTTGCCAAGCACTGGCCCAGGCCCTGGGGATGCAGAGATGAATAAGGTGGTCTCGCCCCCAAGGAGCTCACACTGAGAGGGAGGAGAGGCCTGCAGAGGCCTGTCTGGCAGTGGATGTGCTATGATCGGGGAGGTTCGAGGTGCTGTGAGAAATGTATGTTAGCACTTTTGAGTCCCTCCAGTTTGCGAGGTAAGTATAGCAGGTCTTATCAGCATCTCGGTTCTATCCGTGTGGAAAAGGAGAGATGGAAAGTTTGAGGGGAACACTGTTAGAATGGAGTCTAAATAGAGTGACCCCTGCAACTCAATTTGCCCAGGACTTTTCTGGTTTTAGCACTGAAAGTCCAGTATCTCAGGAAACCCTCTTAGCCCCAGGCAAACTGGGACAGTTGGTCACCCTAGAAGCGAGCTCGAACCCCGGACTTCAGACTCCAAATCCTACACCCTGCAGTAGATTTCAAGCACAATCCTCCTTTTGAAATATTCAGTCTCCATGCTTGAAGAAGCCCTCACCGTGTTCACAATGGATGATACTGACCACAGCCCTCCTGGCTGCTCAATCTGAGGGCCCTTTAAATCCCCAGCCAGTTAAATCCGGACCTATTCCTAGCCCTGGTTGGAGATTTGCTGAGAATGGGTACTTTCTGCTTCTCCTCTCCAAGGCGCTCTCAGTGACTTGGCTCTGCGCCTGGCTGAAGAGCTCTCCCCTGTGTGGCGCCTGCCACCGTAGCTCTTCCCTCTCTGCCCACATCTCCCTCGGCTGCCTCCAGCCACTTTCCAGGGAATTGGGAGCCAAGGCCTTGGGAAGGCATGGGTAGAGCCAAGGGCTGGGCTTAGGCAGAATCATTCTGTGTTTCAGCAAGACCCAAATGCGCCGTCTTTCCCTTTGGCCAGGGGCCATGGCGCTGCATTAGGGAGTAAGCTCACGTGCCAGGCAGCTGACCACCCCAAGAGCACATGGACACCCTCTGCTTAATGCCCTGCACTCTTCGCTGGTCGGGGGAGGTTCCCATCCAGGAGGGGCCCTGGGCTCTCCCTTGAGGTCCCCTCAGTCGCAGCAGCAATGGCAGCAGTCGCACAAGGCAGGGCACAGCAAGCTGACTTTCATTCATTCTCTGAGGTTCCAGGCCCACTCTCTGTTCAGCATGGAAATCTTATCACTCAGTTAGTTGCTTGAGTCTTCCTTTGGAATTTAACTGATGGGGAAGGAGGCGGGAAAGATTAGCTTTGTAAGAGCCTAAAGAGAGAGCAAAAACGATGAGCAAAGCTCACAACCAACTCCAGGAATCTGGGATTCAGCTTAGAAGAGAGAAACCGCAGAGAAGCCCCACCCCAGCCCACCAACCCTGAGTCACTGGTTGGATTCTCTCTCTATCTAGAATTTTGATATTCTATTCATTATGGATTTTTTGCATTAATTTTGATTTTTAAAAACATCACATTGGGGCCGGCCCTGTGGTGTAGCTGTTAAGTGCGTGCACTCCGCTGCTGGCGGCCCAGGTTTGGATCCCAGGTGCACACCGATGCACCACTTGTCAGGCCATGCTGTGGTGGTGTCCCATATAAAGTGGACGAAGATGGGCACAGATGTTAGCCCAGGGCCAGTCTTCCTCAACAAAAAAGACGAGGATTGGCATGGATGTTAGCCCAGGGCTGATCTTCCTCACAAAAAAAAAAAAACAAAAAAACAAAAAAACATCGCATTAAAATATTATTTCTCTTGATTACTGAGGTTTTTGGTGCCCCTTCCGTTTTGTGCCCAATGTGAGTGCCTCAGACGCCCCACCCTGGGCCCTGCTAGGCCACCTCTCGAAGGTTAACCAGCATTGATCAGAAATGCGTTTTCCATCATGCTTCACAGTCAGGCAGGCAGGTTGCAGTGTCAGCACTACAACTTTTGGCTGCATGACTTTGGGAAAGTTCTCAACTTCTTGGAGCCTCTGTTTCCCCAGCTGTGAAATGGGACTATAACAATAGCACCTTCCATATAGAGTCGCTGTGAAGATTAAATGCAGTGATCCATGCCATTAACCCTGTGCCTAGCACATGAGTTCAATAAATAGCAGCTATGAATGATATTAGGCCCATATTTCCAGAACCAGCCTTCAGAACATACAGTCTGAAAAATATTGCTATATTTAGGGGGTCAATGGAATTGAATATTTCAAATACACTGTCTCAGAAATTCCTGGGTCTTGGGTATAAGACATGGGAACTTCTTGCAATCATTGTTGGTCCTAAAATCCCATTGTCATCAATTAGGAGCTGGGAGCTCAGAGATCTGCTGGAGAAGGTAGGGGTGAGTTGTGCCAGGCAAATGCGTCTCATCCTGGCTGGCTGGCTGGGGAGGCTCCGGCAACAGAAAGTTACTCAAAGTTTGTTTCAAGAGGAACATTCTCTGCTCTCCCCTATCCTTCCTCTGCCAGCCCCAGCTTCTCCCTCCTCATTCCCACTGGAAGTGGAGCTGATTCCCTCAAGTAAAAGATCGGAAAGGCAGGGGTTCCTGGCCCCCACCCTAAGACCTTCTGTTGGTTCTCAGCACAAAGCTGATTTAAACCAGTGTGATGTTGTCTCACTCCCAGCCCCGGGCAGGGGGTGTTAAAGACCCCTGCTGGCAGGGACAGCTGCGAGGCCACTGTTATTTGCCCCCAATCTGTCCTTGCTACCGTGGTCGTCTTTAATTTATGGGAATGAGGGATTTCGCGGTGATTTCCTGACGAGTTCAAGGGAAGGTCGCGCGTGATCAGCCCGGCTACAGGTGAATCGGATCGCCCGCCTGGGAGAGCCGCTGCGCTCTGCTGGGCACTGCTCGCTGGCGCGCTCAGGCGCTCACTCTGCCTTCATCCGACGCACTTTGTCCCGTCCTCCTTCAGCTCCAACACGCGCGCCTCCCGGGCTCCTCCTTACCCGATTTCTCCCCAGCAAGATCTGATCTGCGACTGCCCCTGCCAAACCCGTGAACTCGCAATTTCGCCTGAAGTTCAAAAACCCTCCACAAATCGCCTCTTTCCGCCTCCCCACCTGATCTCCCTCCAGGCCCCAGCCTCCCACCTCCACCTCCACTCACCTTGCCGCAAGCCACACCAGTTTACTTGTCCCGCAGATGCACGCTCTTTTTCTCCTCCACTCCCAATTTCCTCAGGCTTCCCCTCACCCAGAAAACCCTTCCCTTCCCCCACTCTTCTGCCTGTTGAAGTCCTACTATTTTAACGTCTAGCTCGAAGGCCACCCCCTCCAAGAATCCTTTCTTTTTTTTATGACTCCACTTGTACATAGCGTCATTTCAGTGAAAGCCATAGTTAAGAACTCTCAAATGATAGTATCCGCTAGAACCTGTGCTGATTTTCTAAATACAGCTTATAACCTCATAAAGGAGCTCTCCTGAGATTTCTTACCACGGGACATCTTGTATTTTAAATCCCCTTTCTTTTTATTGTGGTCAAAAACACAGAACAAATTTTACCATGGTAACCATTTTGAAGTGTCAGTACAGTAATGTTAACTATACACACATTGTTGTGCAACAGATCTCTAGAACTTTTTTTACTTGTGAAACTAAAACTCTGTATCCGTTGAACAACTCCCCTTCTCCTCCCCCAGGCCTGGCAACCAGCATTCTACTTTCTGTTTCTAAGAGTTGACTACTTTAGATAACCACATATAAGTGGAATCAGGCAGTATTTGCCTTTTTGTGACTGGCTTATTTCACTTAGCATAATGTCCTCAAGGTTCATCTGTGTTGTAGCATATGACAAGATTTCCTTCTTTTTTAAGGCTGAATAATATTCCATCGCTTGTATATACCACATTTTCTTTATCTATTCATCT